AGGACTCCATATAAAGATTTATTTAATCAAATTAAAGACAAAGCCTTTTACAGACACAAGCAAGTGCTCCCAGTTAGTTCCCTGCAGATAAAATACTTGGGTTTGTATTTTATTGTTTGAATCTTCCAAGTTAATAACAATTCCATCGAAGATTAATACCAGCAACGTTACTAGATCGGGTTATCCTAAATAATTTTGTTGCGTGTTTTTGCAACAGCAAAAGAATATTTGCAGGTTTCTCTGTATTTTTATATAACCAGCATGAAATCCTGTTGCTAAGCAGAAAGCAAAATCAATATAGAAGGCAAGCGGTACCAGCTCATCTCTGAATTGCTGTAGACGTTTCACTTTCTTGTAACCTCTTCTCTTTTAATGGTTTTCTTCCGTAAAAATCTGCCGTGACTTTATGACTAGTATTTTGTATTTCACTGTATTTCTAGAATATATCACAGAAAAAGTTCTGCTTTTTGACTAAAAGTTACCATTTTGATGAAACAGCCAAGACAGCCTCCACTGTTAAACGACTACCTCTGAATAATGAGTGAAACAGGCTGAATTTCAAGTAGAGGTTCCTTCCGCTAATCTGCCAATATTTGTATGGCTTTCTCTTCCAGTCAAATCACGGCAGCTGAAACTATTGCTGAAATGCTATATTGTAAAAAATTCCATATGTTCACTTTTGCAAGAGCCACTTAAAAGCTTACTCTCCATGTAAAGAAAAAAACCCCATAAAAACTCCTTTTACTTGCATTTAATTTAATTTTAGTTAGTGGGAAGCACTCTGTGAATGATGGACCGCCTGACCCACAGCTGCAAGAGCCCGGGCGGGCGCGGGACGCCTGGCGCACGCCTGGGAAGGGTGGTCAGAGGAGTGGCTCATCCTCTGTCCTTGCGGTGGGTCGTGCAGAGGTGCTCTGCCCAGGTCACCTCCCCATGCACGTCAGGTGGATTTGCCAGTGTTTGCCCCAGGAGCTCCAGCAGTGTCTCCTCTAGAGGTAAAGCTGAATTTCTTACAAGCCACTGCACTTCTGGAATTGGATATTTTTTGTGTGCCTTTTCCCTCTCATCCCAGGCAGAGCGGTCAGTGCGTGTGAGCCTGTGTCCATGTCAGTGGGCTGAGATATACGCCCCTGGTTCCCACCATGGGCTTGGAGGTCCTCTGGCATTTGCACATTAGTCAAGGTGGCACTGCTGACTTCCCTCTGGCAATCTGGCTGCTGTCCGAGCACAGTTTGGGAACAGGAACCAAATGGGCACGTTCACCCAGTGCTCAGAAACCCTCTTGAGAAGGTGTACACCAACTGCTCGTGGCTACGGACAGGGATGCGCAGATGGCACTGGCTGTGCCCCGTGTACCTGCATGGCTCACCCTTACCCACGGCTCTCTGTGCTGCGCTCTGCGCTATGGACCTGTCTTAAATGACCTGCCAAAATTCATACCAGCATGGCCAACAGCATGACCAGAATGGTCAACAGCATCCCAGCACCCGGGCTGGTGCCTGCGTGGCCGTACTGCTCGCTCTCTGCCACACCGAGGAGGAGACAGGATGGGATAATACTGGTCCCGGCTCTCTGGCGGGGGCGTCCGAGCTCTGGGCTGCAGGACACTTGTGCTATTGGACTCGTGTGCTTCCATGTTGTGTGGAGCTCTGGACTAACCCAACCAAAGAGAAACAGCCCCTGTCTATCCTCTCCATAGGACAACAGTTCTGCTAAATCTTCTCTGTGCTGCTGACTGCCAATCTGTGCAAAAACCAACCGCTTCACTTCTTTAAGCTGGAAATTCCTCTTGGCACTTGTGAAAAAAAAGCAAATACAAAAATATTCCATCCTGAATACCCGGGACAGAAATAAATATCTCGTGATTGAGCAGATATAGCGCAGCTTTTGCTGGATTATAAGGATGATTAAGTCATACATTTTATACTTACAAAAGTTATTTTGGAAAGAGCGTGAGCAATATATGCCTGGAAATTCCCAATTAGATTCAAGAGCATGTTGGAGTGAGTAAGCGCACACCCACTGGAGCAGATGTTTGTTTGCACTATCGCAGTGCGTGTATCACCTACCCAACTGACTGCAGAGACGAGAGGGGGTGGTGAAAAGATGCTGCTGGATTCAAAGTGACCATGTCATTCATTTTATGATTGCGCATCTCAGAATAAACAGTTCTTGGGGAACATTTCAAAACAAAAGGCAGACGAGAGAGAGAAGACAGCTCCAAAACCATTTCCCTGAGCAGGGTCTTCTGAGCTGGCACCTTTCTCTGAGCTAAAAAAAGCAAGGGGAAAGAGAAGGGAACAGCCCTGGATTCCTCCAGCAGCAGGGTGAAGTGTCAGAGGCATTCAAGCAGTCGCGCAGGCTGTCAGACACCTGGTATTTTTCTAATTAGCACTGTAGGATTCTCCATGCTGATGCTTTAGCGGGTCGGAGAATGTCTCTGCGGCAATCCCACAGCCCTGCTGCCCTCCGGGCACCCAGGTCCCCTCCTCCATTTTGGGGTGCTTGTGTGGCTGCTTCTCTGCCTGTGCACCGTTTCTTCCTTCCCCTTTTCCTTCCCTTTCCCCTTCCCCTTCCCCTTCCCCTTCCCCTTCAAACACAAACCTGCCATGCACAAGTCTCATGCTGGTGTGTAAGTTAAAAGAAAAAACAAAAACAAACAAACAAAAAGCCCCAAATCTATTCAGACCTGAGGTTCCACCACTATTTCTGACACTAGTTTGTCGGCTCTTAATTTGGAGAGAAAGCCAAAAATCATAGATCTGTTTCAGCTGAAAAAAAAATGACGTGTTCTGATTTTACAGATGCAAATAAAATAACGAGAAGAAACCCTGATATTTTTTTTAATATGTGCTCTGACGCTCTCACATAATTTCCTTTGGGAGAACGGTAAGTTAACAGATCTAGCACTAATACGGCGTGATTCATCAGCTTACGCTTTACAATGAGGAACAGAGCTGTTATTTCTTTTTTATGCAGAGGGAAACTGGAGGAACAGGGAGATGCAGTGACTTACCAGGGACGACGCTGCAAGGCAGACCAAATCCAGGCATCCCAGGTGCCAGGCCAGCGCTCTGTCCAGAGAGCGGGTCAACATAAAAAATCCAGAGTACTCTTCATCCCTCATATCATTTGGAAGTCAGTGTTCAAGCACTGAAATGGCTTACTGAGAATGCTTTTAATTTTTCCTCTGGGAGCAAGTTATCTTTGCCCTCCAAAGGGAGGAAAAGATGGATATTTACTGATAAACAACAATCACCATTGTTCAGAGCTTTTAAATCCCATTCTCTACAGTGCACTTTGCTGTTACGGGATACAGCGTCAAAAGCCTTGCTGAAGTCGAGGTAGGCAATGCCAGTGCTCTCCCCTCATCCACCCAGCCAGTCATGCCGTCATAGAAGCCTATCAGATTGGTCAAGCATGATTTCCCCTTGGTGAATCCATGTTGACCACTCCTGATAACCCTCTTTTCCTCCACATGCTTAGATGTGACATCCAGGATGAGCTGTTCCATCCCCTCTCCAGGGGCGGAGGTGAGGCTGACTGCCCTGTAGTTTCCCGGGTCCTCCTTCTTGCCCTTTTGGAAGACTGGTGTGACATTGGCTTTCCTCCAGTCCTCAGGCTCCTCTCCTGTTCTCCACGACCTTTCAAAGACAATGGAGAGCAGCTTCGCAACACCAAATGCCAGCTCCCTCAGCATTCGTGGGTGCATCCTATCAGGGCCCATGGATGTGTGGGTGTCGAGTGTGCCTAAGTGATCTTCAACCCCATCCTCCTCAACCAGGGGAGAGTCTTCCTTTCTCCAGGCTCTTTCTCATCCCTCCAGGGCCTGGAATTCCGAGGGTTGGCCTTAGCAGTAAAGACTGAAGCGAAGGTGGCATTCAGTAACTCTGCCTTCTCTGCATCCTCCCTCGGCAGGGTACCCACTTCATCTGGAATTGGAAGAGTAAAAGTGAGAAAACTTGTGGGTTGAGGTAAAGACAGTTTAGTAAGTAAAGCAAAAGCCACACGCGCGAGCAAAGCAGAACAAGGAGCTCCTTCCCTGCTTCCCGTGGGTGGGCAGGTGTTCAGCCATCCCCGGGAAAGCAGGGCTCCGTCACGCCCAGCGGTGACTTGGGAAGATGAACGCCGAGAGTCCGAGCGTCCTCCTTCTTCCCCCAGCTTTGTACGCCGAGCAGGATGTCGTATGGCGCGGAATACCCCTGTGGTCAGTGGGGTCCCCTCCCGACTCCTCGTGCCCCCAGCCTGCTCGCTGCCGGGGGGTGTGAGGAGCGGAACAGCCCTCGACTGCCCGGCCACAACCACAACCGCAGTGCGCTGCCACCACCGTTCCCACCCCACTGCACCGGCTGCTAGCCAGAAGGTCAACCCCATCCCAACCGAGACAGTGACACAGTCACTCAGGAACACGTTACTTGCTGCTCTGAGAGCTTTAAAACATTTGGCTCCGCTGCATCACAGGAACTTTTACAGACAGTTTCTTCCTTAACCTTGCCCTTAACGTGCAGAGTGGTTCCTGTTATGACGTGGACACTGAGACTGCACAGCGCGTGAACGGGCTTTGAACACAGTGGGGTTCGGTGGAATACTGCATCGGATGTGAGGCAGTCTATTTACATCCCATTGGTAAATTGTATTGTAAACAAACTCATTAACAAAGTAAGTTCCTTAGAAAATCTCCAGGGCAGCCATTCTCCCGCCTGGGAGGACCATCCTGTGGGATCTGTTGGGGTGAGCGGACAGGCAGGGGAGAAACCTGAGAATTACCTTTTTCTTTCTTTTCCTGTCCCCACTGAACACAAATGCTGTCGGGGCAAGCAAATGTCAGAAATAGCAGCAAACATCTGCGTACGTTCAGGTTCCTCAGGTGGTCTCGAGCCTGATCATCTCCAACGTCAGGAGGGACTTCATGCCCCCCGTCCCTGCCCCGAGGATCGGGGGCTGAGCGATGTGGGAAGCGAGACTGCCGGTGAAAACTGAGGCACAGAAGATGCTCATACCTGAGCCTTCTCCATGTCGGTTGCCACCAGTTCCCCCATCTTATTTCTCAGGGAGGAGGGGTCGCGTGGGGGTGTATGTTCTTCCTTCCCTGGCCAGCTGTTGAGCAGTGCGCCCACGTTTTCCCTCGTCTTCCTTTTACTACCGATGTACTTGAAGAAGCCCTTCTTGTTGTCCTTGACATCCCTTGCCAGGTTCAGCATCAATTGCACCGATGCCACTGCATTTACCCTGAGCTTTACTTGCGGCTGAGGTGAATAATGGACGGGGAAGTCCCCAGCCTTGCCACCGCAGCGCTAGGCATCGTGGCTCGGCGCTGCAGCCGAGGTTCTCTCTCCTGGCACTGGGGAATACGCGTTCCTGCCTCACGTCAGGGCAAAGCTGAATGTCCCGGGCTAAACCCCTGGTCAGACCGTGTCTGAAGGGAATGCCGGACATTCGTGCGGGCGAAGAGCTTTTGAAAGTTCCTCCCCTGCCGCTGTTTATGCAGGTGAAGTGGCAGAGGAGGGGGATGATAACATGTTGTAAATAGAGCTTGCTGCTACAGCTCATGGCCAAGGGAGAGCAAGTCGGAGATCTGAGTCAGCTCACGCTTGAGACGACCACGATCGCCCAGGTCACCACAACACCCTCTGCCGCAGTGGGCAGAGGTACACGGGAACCGCAGGCTCTGCCTCCTGGTGACACACGTAGGGTATGAACACGTGGGTTCATTTGCTGAACATAAATCCAGTTTTGATTGTTATTTAAGTACATCAGCATCCTAATTTCTATGATTCCTTAAAAATCTTCTCTAAGATTTATTGAGGGCAGGAGATAAAATATTGTAGACATGCCAAGTCCCACCTCTGCCTATGATCATGTCAGCATCATTTCGGGGAAAGATTACACTGGATTTGATTCACCCCTCCAAACGTGTATGTCTCTTAAGTGAAGGAAAGCAGTCATCTAAGAATGGGAAAAATCAGGGTTGTGTCACTTTTACAGCAATCCTGCCCATTTTTCTCTCCGGTGGCCCCAGGAGCTGCCCACGCGGACAGAAATCCCCTTCCCCATCCCCTGGGGATGCAGCAGCAAGGATGCCAGCAGGTTTTCAGGAGCGTGTGGCCCCCCACCTGCCTGCGGTACCCCCAGGTCCCTCCCCGGGATCTGCGGCGGGCGCTGC